CTCACTCTCCTCCCCATGCAGCCCTGCAGTCTGTCCCCCTCCCCCCCTTCCCTTGGGGGCAGGCTGGAAGGAGGGGCAATTTGCCCTCCACCCTGGGGGCAGGCTAGACTGGGATTCCTAGAAAAGCAGTTGCTCTTAGTTTGCACTTTTTCTCTGCTACAGGAAAGGAAAAGAGCCGTGTTTTTGCTGCAGAGAGCCTAGAGACCTCAACAGCGGGTTTCTGTCTGAAATCCCTGGGTGTCAATCTTGGAAATTGCGTGTGCCTGTGTGGCACCCTTGAAAGGGTTTCACAACACCTTGGTTGAGTATCACTGGTGCAGGGGCATGGGTAGCCATGTTGTGGGTGCAGCCTGCATTTCTGCTTGCTTCCTCTCCGCTTTCATCCTTCTTCTTGTCCCCTCAGGCTGAGCGGGTGAGCCAGAAGCAGCCCACCAACTTCCAGAACAAGAAGCACGTGATTCTCAAACGGGGGCAAGGAGAGTCTCCCCTGCTGCTACCACAACATCGGCCTGGGCTTCAAGACCCCCAAAGAGGTACGAGGTGGTGCAAGATGAGGGCACTGAGCCCAGTCAGAGCTGGCTTTAGCTCTGACTTGGTGTTTTTGGCAGAGAAATAGGATTAATGTGTCCCTTCCCTGGACGGTAAGGAGAGGGCATGTGGCTGTGTTCAGAGGCTTTGCCAAACTCTGCAGTCTACAGAGATAATGGCATTTAAAGGCTGGAAACAGAGAACAACTTTGAGAGGAAGTGCAGAAAACTTTCTCAGGAGGAGGGGGGTGAAGCCCTGGAACAGGCTGCCCGGAGTGGTTTCCATAGTGCAGTTTCCATGCAAGACCCAGAGAGATGAAGCCTTGGCTGGGATGATGTAGTTAGGGCTGGGCCTGTTTTTGAGCAAGGGGTTGTACTAGATCTGAGGAGGGTGTTCAGCCTACAGGTTGGGACTCCAAAGTAGGTTGCAAGACTATATAATGTCATGAAGAGATTTAAAAAAATGGATTGTCCTTTTAAAGGACAAAATGTGACAATCAGTGGCCCTCTGCCCCACACCATGTCTGCACATGCCCACCCCCTTGCTCCAGCCACCCCCACCTACCCTCACTCTCCTCCCTACACCACCCTGCCCTGCCCCACACACTAGGGAGTGGGATTGGGGGCCGGGGCAGCAGGTCAGGGGTGAGGGGCACTGGGTCGGGACAGGCCATTGATGTTCACAAATGGGTCCTGGTACAAAAAGGGTTGAGAACCACTGGAGTAGATGTGACCTCCTGAGGTCCCTCCCAGCCCTCGTTTTCTAGGATTCTTTTGAATTTCGGGCAGAATCAGCAGTTAGGCAGAGTCTTGCATGCGTTTGTTAAACTGCTGCGTGGCTTGCTATAGAAACCAATTCTTTAAAACTCACTTTCCCCCTTCCTGACGCATGATGTTTGTTCTCACGATGGCCTTCCAAGTCCCAGTGGTGACGGGGCTTTGATGACAGTTGCCAAGTGGCCTGATGTCAGTGGATGGGAGCTGTGTCGTGCAGCTCCAGAACTGGTACATCAAAAACCGCTGTACAGCTTCAGTGCTGTAGCTATCCAAAGTCCCCTTTTGCATAGGGGTAGTGCTCATCAGTGGTGGTTCTGTATTTTTTTCAATGCCTCTAGTTCTTGAGTACTGATCTCATATTTTTCTGTGTTTTTAGGCTATTGACAAAAATGCCCTTTCACTGGTAATGGGTCTATTTGTGGTTGCATCCTGTCAGGTAAGCCATGAGGGATTACCTTGAGTTTCACAAGTAGAGAAGAAACATTTCAGAGCTTCAGTTATGTGGACACAGGCAAAAAAAAATGCTCTTCCAGGCTTTTGCATGCAGCCTCAATCTGTGCAGCAATTTGAGCAAAGTTTAGGAGCTGCCCCATGTCAATTAACTCCTCTCTTTACTGCTTCTGTGGTCCTTGAGCTGCAAATGGTGTCGTTCTCATGATGGTCTTCCAAGTCTCCTGGTGAAGGGGCTCTGACAAGACGGCCACAAAGCTTTGCTGATGCCTAGCAAAAGGGTCCAGGATGTGGGTGGAGAGCTTTCTTTGGATTGGTACCTCTTAGCTTGGCTGGAATTGTTCACAGTAACATAAAACTCTGGGCCAAATAAATGCAGTGAACATTACTTGCAAGGGGCATGAGTTTTTAGGGGTTGTTTGGTTGGTTTTTGGGTTTTTTTGTTTTTTTCAGATTCCTTAATATTTTCTAGTGATGGCTGGTATGTCTTTGAAGGTAGATTGTAGAGATCTAATTGTAGAATCATAGAAAGTCTGGCTAGGCCTCTTTCTATGGGCTCAGGAGGTCACCTAGTCCAGCCCCCTAGACAAGCACACTTGTGCTGGCCAGGCTGCATGTCCCCTGTCCACCTGGTGGCAGAAAGCACAGCATGGTGTTGTGCGGCTCCTGGGGCAAAGGTGGCAGGGCACAGAGAGCCAGCCTGCAGTGGGCAGCCCACCTCTGCCCTCACGCACAGATCTGGGAGGCACATGCCCCCTATGCCACTCCTAAGGTGCATGCAGCAGTGGGAGCCACCCCCCCATGGCTCTGTCTCATGACCTGCCCCTACTCCACTTGCTCCCCCATCATGGGGGCCCCAATCTGCCCCCCCACCCCTTCCCTTCCACAGACTTACCTGCTGGGTGCTGCTCTACACATAATGGGAGAAAAAATCCCGAGATTTGAGGGTCTTTTTGCAAGATCATGAGCCAGACTGGATTTTACTTAGAAATTGCAACTCTCATTTCCGAGAGTTGGCATTACTGCCTTTGTAACTTGTTTCTTATCCCAAGTTATCCAATCTTCAAGTTCCATACTCCAGATTGGACTAAGCTTTTGGTTTTGTTTCCTTCTATGGAAATTGTTGTACCTGGTTTGCCTAGCGTACCAATCAATGCTCCCTTTTTTTCCCTGTTGCTTCATAAGCCACTCTGTACAATTTTATTGCTTAGTTTTGGGAAGGCCTAAACTCTGGCTAAGAGCTTTAGCATAACTCAATATGCCCACTACAAAGATGGCTCCCAGAGCTTCGAGTAAAAGACATAACTAAATGTGCATCCCCTTCTTTCTATTGTGCTGGAGTTGGATTCATGCATTGTGGCTCCTTATTGCAGAAAGAAAGATTTTTATTTTTGTATTTATTTATTTTTGGAAGTCTCTGGTTCTCTAAGTATTCAAGAGGGGACAGGGAAATGGTTAAAACAGCATGTTAGCTGCACCCCTTCCAGGGTGCGGACAGTGAAACTGTAACACCACTTGGTTTCATTTAAGTTGTCAGCTTTGTCTGTCTGCTCCTGTTTCGCAGTAAGTGCACCAAAACTGTGGCAATTTAACCCTGTTTCATTCATATTGCCATGATTCCAGCTTTGCTTACTGCAGAACAGGAGCAGATGGACCATGGGCCCCTTCTCATCCCCTCCCTCTCTCTTCCTGCACACACCACGGCATCCTGCTGCAGGCTCTCCAGGGATGGTCAAGGCAGGAACTGCCCTGTACTGGTGGGTCCCCATCTCTGCTGGAGGGATAACAGCCTTACAGAGGGAAGCGGGACTGGGAAGGGGCCCGCAGCCCGTTCTTGGCTGCCACATCCCCCCCACCCCCAGCCCGCGGGGTGACCACCATGCTGCACCCTCAGCCCAGCTAGGTTGCATCCCCAGCTAGTCTTACAGAAAGGCTGCTCCAGAGTCTCATTCAGCCCCTCTCCCATGCCATCTTCAGACCCCCCTTCATTTGAAAAGTCCTCAAGACCCATTTTCCAGGCTAAACTACACAATGGCTGGGGGAACCGGCACAGGGTTCAATTAAAATCCTCCTGGAGCAGCCCCACCCCATGTAGGTACCTGGGGAGGTGGACTGGGGGCTGCGGGGCCTGCTAGCTGTGCAGCTGGGGGGCTGCCAGGGTAGCCCGGGGGGCTGCAGGAGTTGCCCTGGCCCATCCTGCCCCCCGGTTGCTGTTTTTCTTTAAAAACGAAGGTTCTGTGCCTGGTGGGGCTGGAACACCAGTGCCCTCAGCACTGCCAGCTTGGGGGCCTCCACTGCCTGCTGAGGGTCTCAGCAAGACCCCCAATCATCTGTGCTTGACTAGCCTCCAGCAAGATACCCAGACTCTCTGGGCTGCACGTGCTCCACCTATTCAATGGGACAAGCTCCTGCAAACCTGTCTTGGAAAAGGTGCAGATGATCCACGGAGGAAGCAGCCATGCCTGGAAAGCCTGGGACGTGCACGAGAGCTGCACCACGGGGTGGAGTTGTCAAACTCTGCCCAGGAGCCAAAAGCGTAGCTGACCGAAGCACAGTTTAGCCGTACCGAAAGACAAAGAGGGCAGAGCTATGGGTACCCTCCAGACTTGATGCAGAACATTGAATCTTTAAGTTGCCTTAATGTTATGATTTTTCTCTGTGTCTTCCCTCTGCCTTCGGTCGTGCCAGGACTGTGGGGAGGCAGGGGCAGTGCATTTAGTTATACACAAACCCCATCCCTATATCTGGTTGCTGATTGGCACAGCAAGGGGTTTTGTACCAGGGAGGCAGGGCTGCAAGGGACCCACTGGCCATCACCTGCTGTCTCCAGGGGATGAGAATGGCCCAACTGAGCTCTGTTTCTCTGGAAAGCGTCTCCTTGCAGGAAGGTCCCTTGGGATGCAGAGCCAGGAAATGATTCACGGGGATGTTTGCATGGCTGGTTGTCTCACACCAGGAGAGAAAGGGACCGATGCCTCCTAAGAGTCCTTTCCCTTAGGGGTGTTGGCTGTAGCCATGTTGGTGTAAGGACATAGGCAGACAAGGCTCTTTGGGTAAACCTGATATCTTTTATTAGACTTTTTATTAGTCTTTCCCTTTGAGCGTGTTCCTGGCCGTGTGTGTGCCAAGAAGTGACAGGGAGGCAGAACAACGAGCAGGAGATTTTTATTGAAGCAAGTTCTCCGGTTCAGCGATGCCTGCAGGTCTCTCCACGGAGCCAAGCTATCAGCAGGATGGGCTCCAGAGTTGGACCGTAATGCCAGCCCAGGCAACAGGCCAGACTCCTCCCCAAACTCCCTGTCCCCAGCACCCCCCACATCCTCAGGGACACTAATGTGCTACTCCATGCACAGATGTGTGCACGTGGTGCGACCGCTGCTGCACACGTGGTCTCAGGATGCATGCATGCAGAACCAGCCTCAGATTTCCTCGCCGGGGCTGGAGGGAGCAGGGAGACAGGCCATTTCCAGAGGGGGACAAAGCGACGCAACCATGCATCCCAGAGCCCCCACAACACCCATCCCCTCCTCGTCTCCTGGGCAGGTGTCTCTTTTGGGGTGCATGAATGCAGCTGTCCGGGGACAGCTGAGATGTGGGCGATCAGGCTTAACACTCAAGCTGCAAGCCACGGCATCAGGAGCAGGCACGGCCAGGAGGGGGAAGCAGTGGGTCCAGACTGGAGCCAGGAGCATGGGGGCAGGAGCAAGGAGTCAGCGGGCAGGAAGCAGGAATGAGGAACCGGTGGCAGGGCAGCAGGCCGAGATCCCGGACCCATGTGGCTGTCAGGCTAGCCGGGGGCTGGGGGCCTGTTTCTGCAGGTACGGCCTGGCTACGTCTAACCCGTTCTGCTCTCTAGCACTGCAGCTTCCTCACTGCCCGGCTCAACCTCTTCAGCTCCTTGTCCCCCCGCTGCCACCGCCGCACCCAGGACAGGACCAGGCGGTCGGCCACCCTGTGCCCCATGGCCAGCAGCACGCCGCCTGGGCCGCGGAGCTCCTCGCAGGTGCAGGCCTCCCCGTCTGTCAGCCACAGCATGGGCTGCCTCAGCTCCTCTTCCGACCAGCCCTTCTGCTTGTAGAGGGTCCGGCTCTTCAGCTCGGGGATGACTTTGAGGTCCCCGTCCACATAGGACAGGGCTTTGATGCTCATTCGCAAGGCTGTGGGAGACAAGGAGGGGGGACAGGTTGCAGCAGGGGCGGCTGAGCGGGACTGAAGCAGGGGAGGCAGGTTCACCCGCGGAGGACAAGCATCTGGAGAAGACAAGACTGAGGGGGATTGAACAGGAGCCTTCAGGTCCCTGCAGGGGGGTTGCAAAGAGGATGGAGCTGGGCTGTTCTTAGATACCAGCAATGTCTTTGCCCCATCTCAGCAGCCAAGCTGGAGATGGCACTCAGCTGGTTTAGGGGGACTGGATGTTTGGACCGGGAGCTGTGCGTGAAGTTGAGCATGAAGTGCTTTGGTTCAGGTGGACCTTTGCTTTGGGGTTTTTTTGGCCTTGACCTCACTCCATCCTCCCTGCTCATGAGTTTTCTTTCCCCTCAGCATGCAACCCAGGTGCTGCATGAACAAGGACTGCCTGGCTCTGTCACTTGGCTCAAGCCAGCTCCCTGCAGCACTGCTCCCAGACCCACCAACCCCACACAAAAGCCTCACCAAAGTCTTGACTGCAGAAGTTTTCCAGAAACTCCTTCTCATTTTGCCCGAAGCTGACACAGGCTGTGCAGACAGCATCTGGCAGAGAAAGGGACAGCAATACTGAGAGCCAGAAGAGAGAAACCGTAGCAAGGAGCAGGGGAAAGTTTGTGTGGTTCGCAGCAGTTAGAAATCAGGTCTGTCCCTCCTGGTTTTCCTAGACCGGTGGTTTCCAACCTGTGGTCCATGCACCCCTGGGGGTCCACAGACTACGTCTAAGGGGTCCACAAAAGATGATTACAATCAATCAAAGGGATGTGAAAGCCCACACTTACAATTCAAAGGGGTCCGCACCTCCATTCGAAATATTTTTAGGGGTCCACAAATGAATAAAGGTTGAAAGCCACTGGCCTAGAAGACTTTTCAGATGACTGAAGAGCCAGCCAGAGAGAACTGAGATGGGTTTAATTCAGGCTGGTACCATGTCTTGGCTTCATGTATTTGTTTCCAAATGACTCAAATGTCTGGAAAACACTTGGGAGAAAAGACTTCACTGGTAAAGGAGGCAGCACCTGGGCGGCTTCAGGCAAGTCTCAAGCCACACAAGTGGCTGGAGAAATCACAGGGAATGGATATTTGCAAAGGAAAAGAAAACCCATTAGAAAAGCCCTCCAGGGGTGAGAACAACCCAGCGCCAACCACTGGCAGGTCACCTCTGATTGAATTAAGGGCAATCCGAATTGTTCCTGGTCTGCAAAACACTTGAGTCAGTCAGAGGGTGATTTAATCACCCATCAAGGGAGCAGAAATCCAATAGATGTAATGACTGGAAATGAGTCAGGGAGGATCAGTAACCCTTCCTGCAGCTCCCTACCCGCTGTGGGGGTGCCACTGTACCCTGGGCTGGTGCCGGGCAGGGGGACAGCCCAAGGGCTGGGGAAACCAGATGGTCCCAAGGCCCTGAGATCCCAGAGGGGGATGTCTGCATGCAGAGGAGGGGGCGTCTGCAGCCACGGCACAGCTGTTCTGCATTTCCAGGCTACTGCAGGCCCGGTGGAGGGGAGAGACGGAGTGGCGGGGAGGGCAGCTGTGTCTTGCACAAGCAAAGAACCAGCCCCAGGAGACCCCATTAACCAAGCAGAGACTCAGGGGACCCCCAAAATGGGATGAGGGCTGGGTGGGGGGGTATGGACTATCCCGAGCAACATCCCCCAGTCAAGTGGGAGGTGTCACCCCCAAGGTTTCCCCAGCTCACCTTCCTTCAGCAGCGAGGGTCTGTCCCCGGGGCTGGCGGGCGGCACGCACAGCTCGTCGCCCTGCGGGAACCGGCTGCAGTTGAACATGTCGGGCCAAGGGAAGCCGAAGGCGGCCATGACTGGGGCGCAGCCGTCCCGCACCTCCTCGCAGAGAGCCCGGCAGGGCGAGACGGGCTCCCCGAGCTCGCTGAGGCAGACGGGAGCAAAGAGGGAGCACAGGAACTTCTTGGCGTCCCCGTGACAGTTCTTGGAGAGCAGCGGTGCCCACGAGGACGCCTGCTGCAGGGCTTCCTTCATGCTGTCGTGGCCCAGCAGGTTGGGGAGCCGCATCTCGGTGTAGCCCACGCCGTGGCACAGTGCCATGCTGCGGGGGATCGGCTTGCAGCTGCTGCGCCGGGAGCCCGCGGGGAAGGGGAACGGGGCGGCCAGGGCCCAGGCGCAGCTGGGGAGCAGCAGGGCAAGGGGCAGCAGGGCAGCCATGGGGCACTGCAGGAGCAAGAGGACACAGGCCGTGGGGTTACCGACGCAGGGGGCTGGCTGGGCTGTCCGGGAAGGACCCGGAGCGTGCGCACAGGCTGCATGAAAAAACTTTGGTAACTTTGGGTGTTACACACCATCTCATCTATTTTATCCCCTCCTGAGAATCGATTCAGAAGCCAGCCACCCCAAGCCTTGTAGGGCGGCACAGAAATCTAATCAATCAGCCCACGTGGCCTAGCCCCTTGGCACCGGGACAAGGGGGAGTCGCCGATTTAGTGCTTGGGGGTCTGCCCCAACTGACTTGTCTGGGGTTGAACAGAGCTTTTCATCTGACCCCAAGCCATTTCCACCCCCACCCCTCCATTTGCCCTAAATTCCCCTCAATGTCCTCACCATGCCTCAGTTTCCCTGCATCCATTCTGGACAGACCTGACACCCCTTTGTTTCCTGCGTAGTGGCCAATGCTGAGCTCCCGGCTGGCAGAGACGGCCTGCAGCTCCATCCACCATCCACCAGGTCCTGGCCTCCTACGCGCTGCCAGAGGGAAGCTGCCCCTGTGCCCACAGCCCCCCGTGCCTCCCTCCCACCCCCTGCTTATGCCATCACAAGGGGGGCTGGTGTGAAAGAGGGAGAGCGCCCCGTGCTCCATCCACATGTGCTCCCTGCCTTTGGCCCCAGCTCTGACACTGGCTCCCTGGGAGACCTTAACCGTGTCCCTACCCTTGCTGTGCCTCAGTTTCCCCATCTGTAACATGATGATCATGCTCCCTCCTTCCCCTATCTGTGTAATGGATGGGGATGAATGGGGTCAGAGAAGGGCCAGGGCAGAAAGCCCTGCTTTGTTCAACACAAGGGTGCTCCCACCTTGGTCTTAACTCTCAGCTCCCCACTGTCAGGCTGTCGCCCACCCCTCAGATGGCACCAACCCTCCGGGATAGGTCTGCCTGTCTCAGCCCAAGCCCAGGACCTTTGCTCCCCTCCTTCTACCCCAGCCTGTTTCCTCTGGGATCCATTCCCCCACCCAGCCCCTGAAGAAGATTGCACTTCCAGCACACAGCAAAAGACCCCAGCCCCAAGCCAGGCCTGCTGCTTGCCCCTCGGGACACGGTACCTTCTGTGCTTGGAGCCAGGTGAAGCAGCCTCCTCTGGTCCTGGGCCCAGCAGCTCCAAGCAAGTGCCCCCTTCCGGGACCCAGAGACTCTTCTCAACGGTGCAGAGCCTCACCTTCGTGAGCTCCAAACCAGGATGTTTATCCTCCGCAAATGATAGGTTTGGGTCCCAGGCTTTGAGCACAAAAGTCCTGGGGGGGGTGGTTTAACGGCAGGAAATCCCCAGCCTAGGAAGGGGCTGTAAAAAACCCACCGTGTAATTAGACCTCTTT